GGATGCAAAGGACATCATTATACGGTGTGATAATTGTTCAGGCCAAATAAAAATTGGTATTTGTTCACGTCCCTGGCAAGGCTGTTGAATGACAGCAGCAAACCTTTTCTCCACAGGGTCATTTTGAAGTACCTTGTAACGGGTCATACATTCTTGTCCTGTCACTCGTTTCATGGTAAGGTTGAGAAGAATAATAATATGAGAAGGAAGGGAAATGTTTTCGGTTTTACCGATTTTGTGGCGACAGTGCCGATCGCTGGTGGGAGCCCTTAAGTAATACAAATTAACTATTCAGACTTTATAAATTGGGACAAAAAGGTCACCTCAGCGAAGCATGTGAACATTCTACGTATCAAACAGATGCCAGCAGTGAGTTTTCTTATCTGCGTATCGACCATACGACATATTCTCCTTCTTGTTTTGTGTCTGTTACTCTCTTGTAACACCCCTAACCTTCGGAACAAATAGCCCCAAATGTTGTTTAAAGTGCTGTAAAACTCTTACTAAAACAAAAGAAGAAAAAGGGGTAACAAGGAATCTGTAGTGCCTAAAAATGAGATTTATATTGCAAGAACTTTATTTTATTTCTTTGACGTTTCCCAGTTAGAGTTCAAAGCAGGTTAGTAATGCATTAGTCTTAAAAGTTAAGACCAAAAATTGATCTATCAGGTGACAATTCGTATTCCCGTGAGAAGCAACACCGAAGTTTCTCGTTCCAGGCTCAGTAAGACTGTATTTCTTGGCGCCTGCAGCCAACGAATATTTTGAATTCAGAAACCCTGTCCCAAAGAAAAACTTACTTATATCGTTGACTTGACCAGTCTTTATGTACACAGCCCACATCTTTCATAAAATCCGCCTGTCTGCAGCACATAGCCCTTAGTCCAGTGATGCCGTCCTTAGTGGTGTTGTCTTTATAGACGGTCTGTCTGAGAAGACGAATTTCGCAAGTGAAGGTTGGGGGGGGGGGCATGCAGAGGAGGTATGAGGCGAATATTAACATTATGAAGAAATTGGGAGGCAAGGGAGAGTGGGGGGGGGGGATACGAGAGGGATATGGAGATAGGGAAGGGAGATGGGGGGGGGGGCATAGCAGGCCACGAAAAACAGGGGGAGGGGGCGGTTGGGAGGTGGGGGGGAAGCGAATATAGAGCGTCGGGACAGGAAAGGGAGGACGTTGGTGGTGAAATACTCGTATGAAACCCTTGGTGGGAGTGTAGGTGTGGATTAGTTGCAGGAGAGATTAGTCCAAAACGTGGTTCTAGTTCAGGGTAAAGATACGAGGACAGTTAAACAATTAGTGAAAAGAGAGTTGGGGGGGGGGGTGCAAGAACATGGAGTGGATAGGAAAGAGGATTAAGTGCTTAAAGCGGAGGCAGAAAGGGTGACATGAAGTGTGAGAAGCTTAACCCTATCCGTACGCTCTGGGGTCATTTTGTACTCTCAGGGTTGTATTCTTCACATTTGATAATACTATTAGTGCGAAGATCTCTTTGAAACTTTCGTATTTCTAAAAAAAATCTTTTTGATAGACTGCTATGCAAATCGTACGGATCACATTAACGAGAAAATTTCCATCTTTGGAATGTTGTGGTACAGAGTTCCCCACGTCGAATGGATACGATAGTAAAACATGACGTACAGATAGGGTTAAGAAGAGCCCTAAGGTAGTCTTTTTTAAAATTAGAATATTTCTGTAGGATACCAATTAATTATTCTCCCTGACTTTGTTTGCTTCGTTTTTCGCTACCTCAACTACAGTGCTGTTTTTTTCCTGGTTTTTTGTTTATGTTATTTCATTTCATTCTTTTTTTTATTTCTATTTTTTATACCCCTTTTTAAAAATCTAGTCATGATATTTACTTTCTTTCATCCTTTACTATTTCATTTTTTTTCTGTTCATACTTTTGTCTAACTACCGGCGGGTGTGGCATAGTGCTGAGACGCTTCGCAGAAGACCAGAGTTCGAGTCCCGTCGGGGAGGAAATTATTATCGAGTATATGAAGAGGAGTTGTTGCACTTTCTGTCCAAGTTGGCACTAACAGGCAGGGTCGAAGCCAGCCTTCTTAGAAATGATATAAATTGTGTTGGTGGGTGTGTAAAAGCATGTTGTGCATTATTATTGCATATATATTTTCTTTTGCTTATCTCTCTTCAACGTGTGTACCTCCGAAAGCCGTTGATGAAAGCTCCATCAACTGCACACTTTGCCCTACCACTGGAATCCAGCTTTTGGAACTTGAACCAGTTCCACACCTCTTTCTCTTTGTACATGTAGTCCGTGTCGCATACCGAGGTGACTGAGGCGAAAAAAGTCGCACACAAGAGAGGAACAGTAAGAAGTGTAGCTACTGATCCAAACGTCATCTTGTCCTTTTGAGGCGCTGTATAATATGTGGAAGGGAGAGAGTATAATATGAATAAAGAGGAACCACCACCACCACCCCTCCCCCCCCAAGAAAAAAAATAATTTTTTTTAAAAAATAAATATTAGTAGGTACAAATTTGAATATATATTATTTCTTAATGCAACAGGAATTTATCAACACTGCTCAAGAAAGATTCAGATTAATTATTGGGATGACAACATGGGAAATGAAAAACTATGATAGTAAATAAATTACCGAACAATAGATATCGAAATAAGTAAGTGAAAACGGATGTGCCTTGGGCACGCCTTGAGAAAACAGAACATGGATATTAGATTTCCAACCAAGCTTCAGAATAGACTCTACTAAGAGAGAGGCAGAGAAGAAGGACCGAAACCACATGGAAGGGAAAATTATACTCCTTGCACACTGCAAATCAAACTTATTCGAAATCAGTCGGCAGATTCTTCTCCACGAAAGAGTAAATTTGATCTACTCCTTTTTTTGGCACACTACGATCAGTGCGACTCCTGGCCTTGAAAAGAAACTAGCTTGATTTTGATATTTTGAGCCGAATTCGGCAGAATTGTGTCAAAGTGGTGGCTTTACCATTTTATGAAAGAAAACCTGGCTAGCCCCTACTGAATAAGACTGAATTCGATTGGCAGTGTGCACTTGGTATAACAGGCAGACTTACAATAGATGGGATACGGTTGGACAACCATAAAGACTGCAGTAGCTCAAGACAGAAGTAACTGTAGAATTCTTGTTGGTGACCTATACTCAGGCCCGTCGTCAGAAAAGACGACTATGATAAAGTTCGTTTAATAACATTATGTCGTCTCATTTCCAATGACTAGGCACTTCGTCGTTGCAGCCAATAGATATGATTCACAACACGATGGAATGAGCCGTTCTTCAATTTTAGGGCATAAATGGAATTTTTCGTGCTATCTTACAGCTTGACCGTTAGTCATTTTTTTTCAAAAAATAAAAATACCCATCTATCTTCCACAGAAGTCGAGATAGTTCGGAATGAAGAAGGTAGGGGGCACCTATTTCCAACTGATAATTAGCGAGAAAATAACCGCTGAAATCGGATAACTTTCAAAACGTGATAGTGCTTGGGCCTTTGATCAACGTTGTTCAGTAAAACAAAAATCCACAGAGCAATGTGTTTTTAAATCAACATAAAAGGTGTTGAGCCAGAATTGTTAAAATCTATAAAAATCGACAAACGGAATAAAAAATGCCATTTTCTTATAATTTATCATTTTAGCAAGCTCCTGATTATACCATAACGCCTCATAATGAGTTCAATTGCAAGGACAAAAGTCTAGCGTCGTACTTGTGATAAGACCGGCTAATCCCACGGAGAAAATGTTAAAGTAGAATTTTTTTAAATAAAATTATTTGGCTTCATCACGTAGCAAAATGGCGGCCGACGGATTGTTCTAACACTTAAAGGTATGTCTTGTCAAAAATTCAGATTGACAGATGGAATGGATGGATAACGGTTCATTCGTTAAGTTTTTTTAAGTTCTGAGATATGATTTTTTTAAATTTACAAAATATATAATATATATATATATAATATATATATATATATATATATATATATATATATATATATATATGAGAGAGAGAGAGAGAGAGAGAGAGAATAATTATACAATTTAAATATGTATATATATATATATTATATATATATATATATATATTTATATATATATATATATATATAATATATATAATTATGTAATAGAAATGGCGTTGGCATTGTGGTAAGAACAGCTGGCCAAATATACATAACATTATATATATATATATATATATATATATATATATATATATATATATATATATATATATATATATAATATATTTTATATACACATGATGTATATAATATATATAATTATATATTTATTATGTATTTGTGTGTGTGTGTGTGTGTGTGTGTGTGTGTGTGTGTGTGTGTGTGAGAGAGAGAGAGAGAGAGAGAGAGAGAGAGAGAGAGAGAGAGAGAGAGAGAGAGAGAGAGTGTGTGTGTGTGTGTGTGTGTGCGTGTGTGTGCGTGTGTGTGTGTATTTTAATTTCTATACAAGTACTATGACCATTATAACCTGACGCAACATGAATACTAATAAAACTCAGTTACAATGTCGTGAGAAAACGATACGAACCAATTTAGGAAACGTACCTTCAGCAGCAAACAAAATAATTTGTTCACGCTGTGGTCTTGTTGAGGAGTGTTTTATAGCTGCTTCATCAAGAAAAGCAATTACTGGCCGTATTATGATTCCGATCAATAAACATTGACACTTAATTGTACTGTCATTTACACACACACACACACACACACACACACACACACACACACACACACAACACACACACACACACACACACACACACACCGAAACACAAACAGAGCTTTGTTCGTCTTGCTGTTTTGGATTATTGAGTAAGCTGCCTGATTTCACACTCTGCCGCAATCGGTGAAGTCCATCTGTGTCATGCATTATTTTATTGGTTTATCATTATTCACGATTATTTATGTGCTTATATCTCCAAAGAAAGTTGCTGAACTTCTATTATTAAGTGAAATGCAGCTCAATTTGTGTAGATAAGAATATGGGCGGACCTAATCCTGCCGTTTTGATTATCACGGTTTGTTTGTTGTTCTGTTGCCTCTAGGCTAAGTATGAACGTGGACATAATTTAACAGGTGTTTGTGGTGAAGTGGTTAGGCGCCTCGTCGATACACACAGAAGACTACGGTTCGTATTCCAAATAGGGAAAGTTTTTACCCAATATCTCGGTTTTCCTGTTGTCGTGTCTCATCCCTCTCACCTCAGTTGGCCTTTACAGGCATGATCTAAACCTGCTTGGCATGACCTACATTGTGACGATGGTAGCTTAAAAACACATGTAGGCTCATTCATCTTTTTAAAAAGTGGACATAATTTAATTTGTCCAGCTCATAGTGGTGGGAAGGTCTTTAAGTTTCAGCTCTAGGGAAGAGGTTCAAACCCCCCCCCCCTACCTCCCCTCTTTTCGCCGCAACGTTTTTAATTGTTAAGCTGTTTTTATGAATGTTTCCACTACGTAGATCTCTCACCTGCAGATACGTCTATTTTAAGTTTTACTCACTGAGCTGAGCTGGAATTTTAGGTTTGTTTATAATTTTATGTGACTCTTTTACTCGTAAACATATCTTTTAAAAATATATCCGACTAAAATAATATTCTTTCTTAACTAGTGAGAATTTCTTCCATTCCCTGTAACTCTTTTACCTGTGAAACTGTCTTTTGAAATCATTCTGCGAATCTCTCTTACCTGTGGGGATGTCGTTTCGAAGTTTTTTTCTGGCTTTTCTTTATTTTCGTTTTTCTTTGTTTTGTTTTTCTCTAACGTCGTCTCTTCCTCGACAAGCCGTCTTTTTGAAGTTGAATCTCGTTAAGTGTATGCATGTCTCATACATGTTCAGCTGTCAATTGAGTGTCGTTTTGTGGCTGGTGGGTGTTGTGGTGTAATTTGCTCCTTGTTTTCTATCGAAAATCTGCTATCGGTCTTTTCTTTCCCTCCTCCTTCTTTTTTGTGTTATGTTGCTCTCCATTAATATTTCGAATCCTCAGTGCTTAAAGGATCTAAATATTAAGTTCGTACTTAAACTAAAACTAAATCTAAAGACCGAATGTCTGAACCACCTGAGTAGAACTCAAAAGAGATGGTAAGACATTGACGTTTACAAGAGCAAAAAACAACAAAAAAACAACAATAAAGCAAATAAATCGATATTAAAAAACTTACTTTTCTAAATGTAAAATATATTTAATACATAAATTGTATATATTATAGGCCTATAATAGATATAATAAAAGTTCTGAAATGCTATGTTTGGTCAACCCTTCTATTATGGCTGTGAATGCTGGACAATCACTAAAGACAGTGAAAATAAAATAGAAGCAACAGAAATGTGGTTTCTTAGGAAACTGATAAGAGTATCGTGGAAGGAGAAGAAATCAAATGAGGTAGTGCTTGATGAAGCCCTCGTGGGACGCTCAATGTTAAAAACAATCAGGAAACGACAAATGCAGTTTTTGGGACACATAAATAGACATAAGGATCTTGAAAATCTAGCTCTCACTGGCAAAATTGAGGGCAAGTGAAGCTGGGGAAGGCCCAGAACAACATACTTAGGGAACCTAAACAAATGGGTAACAATAACAACAGGGAAAGATCAAGTAAACGTAGCTTTTTTGAGAGCATCCGAGCAAAGGAAGGAATTAAGAACCATGATCGCCGATGTCTGTCTCAGATCTGGCACTGGGTGGTAATGATATTTATATTTGTTTTGTTTTTGTTTTTGTAAAGTGTTTTACGGCGCTCGCAACTGCATAAGGTCATATGAGTGCGCGGGACACACCTAATATTTTCAGTTGGTAGGAAATTTTGAATTTTGGCCGGGTGGCGGCCGAAGCCTACTCTTATCGATTTTAGACCACCAAGGGATCTTTAACGTGCGCAACTTGCACACGGGCCCTCTGAGGATTTTCGCCCTTGTTCGAGAACGCTAGGTGTAGATCTTTCCTACCAGAAGATCAGGGGTGTGGCAGAAAGACAGCAGTAAGGAGGAGCCAAGTAACAGTAGAAAGGCTGCAGAGAGAGTCAGGAGCCCAGAGGAGGGGGCAAAGGAGGTGAGAGGTTGGGGGCAGAAAGTGGAAATGAAAGCTAGAGAGCAGGAAAGAAGGTGAAAGGAGACAATTTTAGAGAAGAAATTTTTTCGGTCGCTACCCGGTTTCGAACCCGGGACCTTTTGAATGAGAGGCCAACCCCTTAACCTCTAGGCCACGAGAGCCCCCTAGATATATATATATATATATATATATATATATATATATATATATATATATATATATATATATATATATATATATAAAACCGAACATCATGCCTATCATCAACAAAGAAGTCGTTGAATTGTTTTTAATTGTTTGATTTTCCTGGAAGTTTTATATCTCTCTTAACATCGAATGTCTTGAAAAAAATGGAAGTCATAAAAGCAGATCACAATTTAGCTTGTCATAGATAGACAGACAGACAGACAGACAGACAGACAGACAGACAGACAGACAGACAGACAAACAGACAGACAAACAGATAGACAGATATGATAGATAGATAGATAGATAGATAGATAGATAGATAGATAGATGGATGGATAGATAGATAGATAGATAGATAGATAGATAGATAGATAGATAGATAGATAGATAGAAGCTCAACTTTGTATATTATCTAAAATCGATAGCGGTGAAATGATCCAAAACGAAGGACCCTCATGCATTCAATGAAATCGACACATAAAACTATTAATAACATTACTGAGACATGTCAGGCGATTGATAAGTGATGACACTGTATCAGTTTTAAGTCTGATAAGAGGTGTCAAAACCAAAAGTTATCGCACTCGCCTGGTAGGTGTTTTTGTGCGAGTAGCTCAAAGTCCTGTTTGCCTCAAGAAAGCCTCACTCAGGTCGACGTCAGTCACAAGGTAAGCATCAGATCAACTTTCCCCGTTGTTGTTGTTTCGTTGGTTTTTTAATGAATTATTTGTAACACCAAAGGTGTATACGAATGAAGGAAGAATTTAGAAAAATAAAAGTTTGAACAATTATGGCTAAGAAGTATAATATTGAGTATCAACATTCAACTCTGCTGGCATAATCAATTTACAAGATTGAAATGATAGAGAAAGGTCCATCTCTTATTATGTCTATTGAAACTGTATGCAATTATACACAGAGCTTTTCTTGCCTATTCAAATTATTATCGCTCTTTCTCTCGATCTAAAAATAAATTCCTTTTGAAATTATGCTCAACAAACATAATATTTTATGAAAAATTTATATTCTGTGCATACCTTATCTTTGAAAAAATGTTTCATTTTTTTTGCCGTGAATATCTCTAAAATATTTGAGTGTGCAGAGCAACTAGTTTTTTCAGTTCAAATATACACATTGCAAATTCAAAGACCGCATAGAAAGACCAAATTCCACCTAGCAAATCCAAATATACAAATGACGTCATAAAAAGTCCTAATACAACAATAGCAAGTTCAAATGTAATCATAGAAATCTCAAATGTAACACATAGCAAATTCAAATTCCACATTGCAAGTTCAAATGTAAATATGCTTGAACTAGAGTAAAAGGAGGCTAAGTGGGAGGCTGGCGGGTGCTGTGGTGTGGTTTGCTCCTTCTTTCCTATCTAGCATCTATCATCCTGATCTCTCCTCCTTTTTTGTGTCTGTTACTCTCTTGTAACACCTCTAATCTTCGGCACTTACATAACCTTATTGCGTTGCAAGTGCCGTAAAACTCTAACTAAAACTAAAAAGGAGGCTAATATATAAAAATATAAGAAGTACATCAAGGTAAGAAGTAAAAGGGTTTCGTTTTTTCGGCCATGAAAAAGCTAGACGTAAGCCGTGTGGTGCCACAAAGAAGAAATCACGTGAAACGAAAGTAATAGTTAAATTATGTTAAAAACTGAAAATAAACTAATAAACTTACATGTTTAACAAAAACGAATGTTATAATACAAATCAACATACTGCTGGTATATTATAGAACTAACTGAGTGAAATCTAAAGCCAAGTTTGCTTTTATTTACTTATCGTTGCACTTCAAAACGTTATGGCTTATAGTCTTGCATTGATCTGAAGGCTGCTGCCATTTTCACTATAGTCACAGCTTGTGTTTTTTGTTCCATCATTTGGGCAAGTGTGACCATCCTTTCTTGATGAGTGAGCTGAGTGAGCATTTGGTCTTTTGCTTCACCGAACCAAGGGTTCAAATCGTATTTCCAAATTCACAAGCGTTCTCGTTGATGTTAAGAAAAGATGTGTAAGGGGGGGAGAGGTAGATATTTCTTCCACAATCTATTAACGAGTTGCCATTTAAAGCCTGTCTTTGTGCACGAGCGTTGCAACATATAAAGCATACTTCGTTGAGGGGATTGTTGAACCAGTTTCTTAGAGGGATGGGTTGAGACGAAAGCTGCCATTCCATCCACTTGAAAGTCGTGAAAGATCAGGCCACCCTTGTCACTGACAGCAAATTAGGTCCTTATGGCATCGGGCGGTTCGGTCCCCTTCGACCCTGCATTACTCGAACAAAGCATTGACCACTCGATCAACGGCTTGCTACCAGCTTCCTCACTATTGGCAAATTCATACCGCTAAATGTTCTGCATCAGCCATACTGCATATTGATGTCTAGTTGCTTCAGTCCTCTCTGAATTTCTTTCCGCGGGATAATTCTTGGGATTTTTTAAATGGTGATCAATTCACCTTAAAATTAAACTGCTTATGATTGTCGTCAACTCAGTTTGAGCACATTAAAATGCTTGTCATGTTGAATAATCTTTGTAGAGGATATTTGCTTTTGTTATGTGGCATTTGAACTTGCTGTTGTGTTACATTTGGATTTGCTATTTGTACATTTGAATTTGTTACGCACAATTGTGCACTAAAATTGCCTATTGAACATTTGAACTTTCTATGCGGCGTGAAACTTTCTATGTGGCATTTGTATTTCTTATGTGTACATTTGATCTGAAAAAACTATATTATAATATCTGGTTGCTTTTTCGATTTCAGGGCATTTCTCGTCAGAGCGGTACACACAGAGTGGGAATAGAAGCAATATAAAACAAAACAAGTTTAAGGGTGCTCCTTCAATGGAGATAACGGCGGTCATGGTCCAAACCAAGCTAATAGCCGATGTTTCGGTTTGAATAAATAAAATCTTAATATTGTCTTCACCGTCTTTTCCTTGTCCAAGAGGGAAACATTTCTGGCCTTGTTTATGTGATGTAATTGCCAAGCTTTTTGTCCTCGCATGTAAAAGAAGTAAGTTCGATTCCCTAGTGGTGAAGTCTAATTAATCGAGCATCTGCATCTCTCTGCTGGATGGAATACTTCGCCCCACTCTGCTCAAGTCGGTTGTGACACGCAGGGTCGAATCTTCTGGTATAGAAAAAAATTTCTGTCTACTTTTCACTGTCATGTTTTATTCTTGTAGATAGTTTCAGAGACTGTAATTCCCTTTGAAGTATTCAAATCACTTGAATTGAAGCTGTCCTCTAAATAATTAGGTTTGTTTATTTGAGTATTCGTATTGCCCTTTGAACCTGTCCAAAATGACCACAGATCCATTGTCTAGGATAAAGGTGGTCGTCTTTGACAGTTGCTCCTCTTGGACAGTGACAGTATCATTTTTTTAAAGAAAAGAAAAACGGAAGTGGTGGGGAGTAGAAAGTGGCCGTTAGTTTGTACAGGTGGTTGTCTTAGACAGGTGGCCGTTTGAGCAGGTTCGAATGTATGCTTCATTTTAAAAAAATTTCCTAAACTATTCTTTTTCAGAGTTTAACAATAAGAAAAAGAAAGATCTAAAGAGCCGCAAAATGCAGGTGCTGCTACCTTTGTGTGTGTTGATGGGGGTAGCCCTCGCCACCCCAGTGTCCCATCTCGAGCCGTTGAGTGACGCTCAAATTGACTACATCAACAATTTCGCTAACACAACATGGAAGGTGAGTAGGACTTTTTCTTCTTATCCTTCAGCTTTTAGGCTAGAAGGACGTTTTTTTTCACGAACCTTCCTGCAATAAAACACTGCATTGTATCCTCTGTAAAACAACAACAGCAACAACAGCAACGACGACGACAACAACAATCACAACAACAATAACAACAACTACAACAACAACAACAACAACAACAACAACAACAACAACAACGACGACGACGACGACAACGAAAACGACAAACCAAAACTACAGTTACAACGACAAACCACTGTAAGAATAAAACACCACCACCACCACCACCAACCACAACAACAACAACAACAACAACAACAACAACAACAACAATATCTACGCTTGTTCTACTCTTAAAATTATTAGGCTGGTCGTAACTTCTACCCAAACGAGCTGGCCCGCGCACGCAGAATGCTGGGAGTTGATATGGAAAAAAATGCCGTGTTCATGAGGTAAGCATAACCTCTCTCTCTCTCTCTCT